AGAATCCAATGCCAATGGCAAAATCATTAATCAAAGTTTTCATTGTCAACTTGAACTTCATTGCTCATTGCTCACACTGCGGGGATGAGCCCATTTTCTCACCATGAAAAGGCTGAAATTATTGTGGGCTTTTGTACAAAATTCTCCAGATATACACATAGAGAATATTCTGAATAGTTTCATAGTTATATTGAGCAGAATATAAGGCTCATATGCAGCAATTTTTAAGAATAATCACAACAAAATATTGGTCTAATTATTCAAAATAATTGTAGAATAATTGCCATGCATATAACATGAGGTTGTTCAAAATAAGCTCTGCAAGGAAAGTCTTTGTTCAGCATAACCTTGCTGAGATCATCCTTAAATCTGCAAAAGAAAGAATTTCCTTGCAGAGCTTATTTTGAACAACCTCATGTCATATGCATGGCGATTATCCTGCAATTATTTTGAACAATCAGACCAATATTTTGTTGTGATTATTCTTAGAAATTGCTGCATATGAGCCTTATATTCTGCTCAATATAACTATGAAACTATTCAGAATATTCTCTATGTGTATATCTGGAGAATTTTGTACAAAAGCCCACAATAATTTCAGCCTTTTCGTGGTGAGAAAATGGGCTCATCCCCGCAGTGTCATCGAAGATAACTATTTTTTTTTTTTTGTCATGCTTTCGAGTTTAGCTGGCTGTTCTGTGTGTGACAAATGCTGCTTTTGAGGGTAAGGTCAGCTCTACATTTCCGCTGCTTTTGAGTGTAAGGTCAGCTCTAGTCTTCGTTGTGGTCAGTGTGTGCATCCATAATACAGAGTGAAGGGCGTGTGTGAGAGACAGCATATTTGTGGTTGCAAATCATGGGTGAGCTGAACCATTCACATCGATATCTACTCATTGGCTTGACTAGTTTCTCCCCTGATGCGCTAGTTTCTCCCCTGATGCGCTAGTTTCCCCCCATTCCCCCGACACTTTCCCCTCGGATCGATCCACACAAGCCTCAACTTCACGCATCAACGCATCAACGTCGAGCAACTCCCTTCCAATGTTTCCTCTGAGCGCCAGCCAAGCTTCCAGAATTGCGTTGGTGACTACCAGATATCACTAAATCCATTGTCCCTTCTCCTCGTACTACGTACTTCTTTCGCTTCTACGGAGACTTCCCGATCCTCACGCGCGAAATACCTTTCACTCCTTCGCGAGATTTCCAGATGTGTAGATAGCTCGCTCGCTTCTTCGAGCTATCACTCTTGACACAGCTCAACGTGACTGTCCTTGGATTCACCGGGATCTTGGAACGACAGTCGGCCACCCATTGCCCCAGGAGGATGATAAAAAAACCCCCCTGTACGCTCCACGACTTCTCAACCTTGTGGTTGGACAACAAAGTGTGTTTCAGAGACCCAGAACGGAAGAATGTGTCCACACGATAAAAACACTACTACTATTACTATTACTATTACTATTACTGTACCCCACCACCACCACAGCAACACCACAACACCACCACCACCGGCCAAAATAATATATCATGATCATTCGGGACTTGTGAGTTTCACATCCCACATCCCACATCCTCCCACATCCCACATCTATGCTGTCACCTGTCAATTGCCAAACACTGATACGATGCGTAACAAGTTACAACCCCTAACAGCTCTAATCCATTTGGAAACGAGTTTCTGATACAGCACATATGTATATGCTGTCAGCTACTCCAGATACACAGTGACACCTAGTTATGGCATCGGGTCTTTGAAAAGCACAACAGCGAAACGTATATTGTCATCAGCTGTAAAGAATAAATAAATAAGTCTGGAGGGGGGGAACTACGTACTACATATTACTACTACTACTACGACTACTACTACACAAAGTGGGGGTGTTCCAAGTAATAATACACTATGCTATGTACACCGTTTCCTATGAATTGTACATGGGAGGCAAATGAAATAAAATGAAATGAGATACAAAGTACAGATCCAGAAGAATCGAAAAATGATCCCCAGTCCTAGCAGTCCGTGACCCCAAACAGCTTATCGAGCTGTGCTTTGTACTCCTCCTCGACAGCCTTTCTGCGGATATTCCCCTTCGACGCTGTCCGGGGCAACGAACCCAGCGGGACGACGAGGATCATATCCGCGGATGCGATGCTCTCGTGCACGTATCGTCGGCGGTGGAACGCTCGGATCTTTCGCCACACATCCTTTTTGAGTCTCGGCTCGTCGACCCCCGCGGTGCTTTCGACGAAGAGCACGGGGGAGGGCCGGCCCGTTCCGACGACGATGCATTCGGAGATGAGGGACCCGCACATCGCGCGCGCGTTGTCTTCGATAGATCTAAACCACGGTCGAGTGGGAGATTAGAATCAGTAGGAAAGGAGGAAAGGAGGAAAATGCGTACTTGGTATCGCATCTGAGACTACTCTCAGTCTTGATCCAATCATCGTCCCTCCCAGCGAAGATATACCTTCCCGTTCCGACTTGGATGAATAAATCCCCGGTATGGAAATCCCCATCCCCGGGATCCCTTAACGAAACGTCAGGGCAGTCCCCAGATTCCGCGAGCACCACAAACTCAAGAAGCCGATTCGTCGATTGATGCCCAGAGTCACTATCCTCCGCCTGAGCACTAGTAGTATCAACCGGACGAAACTCGTACGCAAGTCCACTCAGCGGCCGCAGATGTCTCCTCGTGGCCGGATCCTCCCCTCCTAACGAAACCAACGTCGAGCCACCCAGCTCCGTGCTCCCAAAGATCTCCTGCAGGTTGATCCCGGATTTATACGCGAAATCTTGGTCGTCCTTGGATAACGCCATTCCACAGGTGGTGACCTCGTCGAGCCCCGCGAGCACGCGCAGGAACCCCGGGTTGGCGCGCGCGGTGCGGAGGAGCGCGGAGAAGAACGCGGAGAACTGCCAGAGACGGTTGACGGTGCAGTGTTCGACCATGGCGGCTAGTTCGTCGGCGGGGTAAGGAAAGCGGCGGGGCTGCACGATGCAGGTGCCGTATTGCATGAGGCAGATAAGCATGGTGGTTTGTCCTATATGACACATGCTTCCGCTGTAAAGGGGCGTCAGTATGGGTGTGTGGGATTATGGAGTTTAGAAGGAAGCACTCACATCCAGGTACTGACGTCCTGACCGTTCTTGTTAAGTGGGACACAGAGCTGGCTGGCTTTGCGGGCGACGGCGTCGAGCCAGCGATAGCTACAAGGGACTAGTTTCGGGCTTCCGGACGTGGACCCACTCGTGTGGAACACGAACGCACAATCCGAAGGATCAACAGGATCTTCTTCCGATACAAGATATGCATCGTTGACATCTTCGAGTAAGCTCGAGGAAGAAACCTCGATATCAGAGAATGGGGTAGCTGTGAATATCGGTACAGGGGCGTTCATCATCCCTTGGTCACCGATAGAGCTCAAGGTCCCCTGGTCACATACCAGTGCCCTAGCTCCCCCCTTCTGCAGAAGCTCGAAAATCACAGTCGGGTCTGGAAGACGAAGGCTAAACAACTGGGGCACGTATCCCGCTTTGGAGATCCCGTAGATGTGGAGCACGTCAGAGTAGGTGTATCCCCCAATCCACAGCCCCACCACCGATTTACGCGGAATGTTACCCCGGATATTCAACTCGCGCGCCCAGTATCTGGCGCATAGCTGGACGTCGTCGGAGAATTGTTTGAACGTGATGGTGTCCCAGCGGGGTAGTCCGGTAGACGGGGATTGCGCTGAGGGGACTTTGAATGCTGCTAAGCGAGCGAAACGATCGCTGCTATCCCGGAGGATAGATAGGTGTGTTAGTAGCTTGGGTTTGCTGGGAGAGGACGTGGAGGTGGAGGTGGAGAGAGGCATCTTGGCACGGAAGAGATGCACTGCAAAAGAAATAAAAGATATAAAGAGTCAGCACAGATAATCCCAGCCCTTCTTATAACACGTTGGGAGGCTGCTTTTTTTGAATGCGGATAACAAAACTTGCACTGAATCATGTCGACGAAAGAAGAGTCACAACTTTGTCGGAAGCGGTACTGCATACTACGCCGTACGGCCAGATAGCGCTCACGTCTCAGGTAACGAACCGACCCACTGAACTGAACAGCATTGAAATGTATAGATGTTGGTGTAACCGTACCAAGTTCATCCAGGTTTCCTTTAGTGGTGCGTAGCCCACAAAACACAGTGAGAAGTCAACGCAGCTATCTGTAAAAGTAAAATGGGGGTAAGTTTCTTACTAGATTAGTCACTAGCTCGAAAATAAAACATTACAAATAGCCTACGCCCTCGCTCGGATGTGTTCAAATTAGGCTCTGGCATAAGCTGTGAAATGTGACACTGAAACCGCTCTTGATTTCTGGTGCTGTACAGACCCAATGGTATACAGCTGATTGCTTACTGTTACAGGATGTTACTGTGGTGGCTCGAATGAAAGCTACTCTGAAAGGCCACCGGTGTAGCCAAACTGAGATGGGGGCGAAGTTCGCATAGTGACTCTTCGCGCACTCTCGCACGTCTTCCGATGTATGTGTTATGCAGAGACTTGACGCGCGAATGATGCTATGAGTCGAATGAGTTCTACCCCCATTGAATTCGGACACCAGATGACTCGAGCGCGGTCCAATTAGTGTCCAAGATACACAGCCTTTTCGATAGCAATTCTTTTTTCTTTTTGGTTTTGAGATACGGCGAGTGGCGGGAGGACGAGCGTCAACGTCAAAGAGACTGCGCCCAAACGGGTATCCAAACTGGGAATGATAGGAATTTGATAGGAACTTGTTGGAACCAGGTGACTGAGTAAGCATCTGAGCGTAAGCATAATGAGGCGTAATGCTATGTGGTTTATTGATGTCGGCGGGGTCGGAGTCAACGTTGTCAACTGAGAAAGAGATTGACCTGAAAGAGCAGTTGCAGTACAAGGCGCACGTGGCTCGAAGTGAAGTATCTGCTAACGGTTCTCAATACAAGCTCCAGCTACCAATGATTATTCTCAACGAAGGATGCAATATACACCGTTGGTGAAGTGGTTATCATGCTTGCCTTCCATCCCAATCCAAGTAGTAGGAGTAGCAAGCGGCTCGGGTTCGATTCCCGAACGGTGTAGGTGCAAGATCATATGTTTTCTTTTTTTCTTTGCTCGAGGGCGTGAATCAGGATTCACTAATATCTAATAATTCATAGAAACGACGACGACGACGACACCCGGGACCTCGGGTCAAAATCTTGCATACCCCCGCGGCTCTGAGTCTCTGTCCCTTCGGTGTAGCTTCTCGCCCGTGTTTGACTGTTCTACCCAGCTTACTACAGTACCCAAGACTCTTCAAAACTCACTGACTCAGTGCCCTGAACGTCAACACAAGACTCAATTCAATGCTGATTAGACCAGCAACAAAGATCAAAGATAATCACCGAATCCTCCAAAACATATCCGTCTGTGACCGCAAGGGGACTACGGCGGCTTTCAAAGGCTTTCTCGCTCAATTGAATGGATCTCAGTTTGGACACTTATTCATCCCGCCTCCTTTGTCCAAGTAGCCGGGATCCGGAATTGAGCATTTCTACTGCTTAGCCTCGTCCCGAAAAGCAAGCTTGTACCATATGTTCATGGACTCAACCATTCACAGGTTCAACTCTGTCCAGCACTAGCTCTCCGGCTTAGTATGTTGCTTCCATTGACTCTGTGGACGAGGTGAACTGCACTCTCGAATTGCACGTCCCCGAATGCTGGTGTCCCACAATACTATCACACAGTGGTATGACTCACCTGTTCTGGACAACGAGCTGCACACAGTGAACTTGTCAAACCTTGTTGTGGATGTAGACTATGCTATCTATCGTCACCGTGGGCCAGACGACACCTCTGGGTAGTACCTCGACCATCATTGTGGATGTTTCCAACACCGAAATCAAGTATCAAGGTAGTGGATGGAATCCGAGTGGCACATCTTTAATGATGAACCGAGGCTGGGCAAATGGGGCCACCGTTAGGAAATTCAACCTCATCGCACGAACTCCGTGGATAATGCTTTCAGATTCAGATTTTCTGGTGTGCACTTTTCTTCTCTGGCCTGTTTCTCAGCCAATGCCTTGTGATCCGTTTTCTAGGCAGTAGCATCGCAGTCTTTGGTGTTTTTGAATGGACTGGGGCCGGAAGCACTACTCTCGATTTCGCTCTGGACAACCAAACCACCACCACGGTCATCAGCATACTATCAGGCTCAACTCCTCCCATCAGGAAACACCGAATTATCAATTTTTCTCATCTAAACTTACCTCAGCCAACTATACACTCTTTGTAAATGTCACAGATGCGATTGGAAACGTTCGTTTTCGATCATCTCGCATATATTCCATCGTTCGAGTCACTCGCGAACAAGCCAGACTTCACGGACACGGGCTCTGCATTACCAACACCAAAGGCAGTAGCAGCTCCCACACAAGTGAACGGCCAGTAAATACGGGTGTGATCGTTGGTTGCGTGGGGGGGGGGGGTCTAGTGGGCCTGACGTTTCTCGTTGGCCATTGTAATTATCATAGCCCGCCAATGGGATAAACTCAAGGCAGAGTCAGTGCTTGTGTCTGTTGAATCGATGGATACGCAAAACACGGATGGTAAGACTCCCCTTACAGTTCAATCTTTCAACCTGTTACTCATGAACAATGCAGCATATGCCACTAAAAATTCCACGGGCGCACGGGCTCAGTCACCAAGTGTCCAGAGTTCCGCTTCCTCTGTCAACGATAAGATCAAGACTCTACGCCATAATGGTCCACCGTGGCCCAAACCAAGCCCTGTGCTTTGCGGTACGGGGGATTGACAATGTCCAGTCTGCCAGGTAGTGCGGTGTCAGAAAGAGATACGAACCCCACACAGGCTCAAATCAACGAGCTACGTAGGAGACTTGATGACATAACTTCGCAAAATTAACCTCCGGGCTACGACGATCCTAAACATCATTTAGTCTTTACGAGGGACACTATCCCTTGTTTCTAATGTTGATAGTATTCGTACTTTTGAGCCTGGAGCGCGAATGCTCTGCGTTATTTTGTCCATCCATCATTTTGCATATCTATATATCGATATCTATCTTCAGATTTCATGGCTTTGGACTTCGAAGAAGACTTATCATAGAACATAGGAAAGGTTTTTCAAAGAGTCAAAACAAGCGCCCAATCATCTCGCACAGAGATGATTGATTGCACAGAGCAAGTGAGGAAACTACTTGCCCCAGAATGTTGCTGTCAATCGTGTGTTCTGCTGAACTGATCCGAGCTTGTGTCCAAGTAGCATCTTCACTGGCATCCAGCACATTGTTAATAACTTCCACAGTCGTGATACATTGTGCATTAGTATTATCATTCCAAACTGTGTCACGGGAAGTTATGTCAAGATGATTCGTACACACGCCAGACTGCCTTTTTATCTGTCGAATTGTTCTCCTAAGAAAACAACAAACCTTTTGCCTACACCTTCCTCGCTCCAGTCCACGCTTCCGCGCTCGATAGTACCCAGTGTGATCGCCTTCTTTTGAGCAGTGACAAATTGCCGCTTCAGTCGGGAAAGTTCTGGTAGTGTAACATTCCGTGATGGAAGTGTTAGCTTGAGACGTGTAGAACCTGACACTGTGGATGTATGCGAAAGGGTTACAACACCCCCAAACCCGTTTTGTGACGACATTATTTGTTGCATAATCGATAGCGTTGTTTTTTCCAGCACTGCTAGTGCATCTGTCGGAGCTTTGGCTGTCTATTATGATTGAACGATTGCGTTGATTAGTAGGGCACGCTGCAAAAGAGGGTGGAAACCAACCGCGACTGTTCCTGAATTGGGGTTATTTACTTTGCCATTTTCTATAGCATCCCAAATAGCATTCAAAGTCGATTGTGATACTGACTCATCGGACCACAGTAAAGTAAAGAGAGGTGAGTCCCATCGAACCATTGAAGAGGGTTCTTCATATCGTAGGAAGAGATTTTCCAAGGTTTCATCGGAATATTTATCATCTCCTTCCCGAAGTTTGTTCCAGTTTCGACATCGCTCTTGTGGTGTTAGCACATATACCTAGTTGACAAAGCACAATTAACATATGCTCTGGTAAGAGGACGCAGTAAACAAAGCGGTCGGGATTGACCAGTTTAGTTTAGTGCAATGACTATCCGAGCGCCACGGAGCCACCCAATGTTCGCATTAGCAGAAACTGCGGAAGAATGAAGGTCCGTCTCAGCATCATCAAAATCTGTCCGGAGATAGTACAAGGAACAGCGGGAAATTAGAACAGCCCCTCGGTCGAATGTTCCGAGTATTTGAAATTTGTATACACAGATGTAGTGGGCGACCCTTCGATGGAACTCGAGATAGTAAAAGTGTAGACTGTGTTGGGATTGGTTGCGAGTCAAGAGCAATTATAGCATTTGAATGGACCGTAAGAGCATATGCATATGCACATATCAACCCAGAAACGAACGAAATCGAAGAAGGAAGGCAGACGCGGTACCGCAGCCATTGTGAAGAGAAGACTCACAGTTGCGACTCTAACTTTCATCTCTCTGGCAGCACAATAAATTTGGTATCGAAAGCCCTTGATATAGTTGGGGGCATCGACGATGAGGATATTATTTGGTGACAGTAGTCGTATTATTGCAGTCAGGAGTGCACCGCGAGCTGGTTTTTCGGCAGCAGAGTTATCGTAGGCTGATCGCTTGATATCTAGCGAATGGGACATTTCTGAGAGCCATATAACATCTTTTGAGCCAGCAGCCTTTTCCTGAAGGAACGCCTTTAGTTGCCTTGCTCTGGAGCTTTTTCCAGAAGCAGGATAGCCAGTGATGGTAATGAGTGACATATTATAGTAGAGACAAACTCAGGCAAATTTATTTAAACTAAATCCGCGTAGTAGGGGTCGTTGATATGAGCCAACGTGGGAAATCTAAGGTTGTCTTTACACGACCGAACTGATTGGTTTTGGCTCACATACGCTCCTTATTATTTTCTATTTCTTCTTTCTTTCGACATTCTCCTTTGGGCTGAGCCAAAATCTGTGTATCCCTCCGCTTTTTGCGGCCAACTCTGCGGTAAAACGCCATGATCGCCGCCCTGAATCCCGCAGTCTCTCAGCAACAGCAGTATCCAATGCCTGATGATCTCGAGGAAAGGCTTTGCCCTGGTTGTAAACTCTCGGTTGTATCGGAAGAAGGTGGGCTGGTCGTTGCATTCGGGTACGTTCTCCTCCCCTAAGAGAGATTCGCTGTTTGACTGAGTGAATTAGCCAATGTTTCTTCCACGTAAACTGCTTTAAATGCGCCAAATGTAACGACAAAGTCACCGCAGACACTAATCTGCTACTACTCTCCGATGGCTCCCCAATTTGCGCCAACTGCTCCTACGCTTGTAACGTCTGTAAACAGCCAATTCTTGACGAAGCTATCATGACCGGTGACGATGCATACCATGCTCATTGCTTTAAATGCAAAGTCTGCAAGAACCGGATTGATGAACTCGTCTTTGCCAAAACTAGTCAAGGCATATATTGTATGGATTGTCATAACGAGCGTATGATAAAAATCAGGAAACATACCCAGAAGAAAGCAGAGCGCGATCGGGAGAGGCAGGCTGCACAGGTAGCCGCGTATAATGAACTTGGCGTCGGTGGAGCCAACAAAGGTGGAAGTGTATCTACCAGTCATCGCGACAGAGAACTTAGGGCTAGGGAAATGCTTGGAAAGGATGTTTCATCGCAGACCCTTCAATCATCTCGCAGTACTGAATTCTCGCTCAACGGACATCCATCTCATCCCCTTCGTGCACCGCATGCGAATAAGGCCACCGAATTTTCCCGTAATAACCAGTCGTCAGTATTTCACCCACCCCCTCGCACTTCATCTGTCGATAGCGCCAGCCAACGCCCTACTCCATCCAAGAATCACTCAATGCCTGTTGCTCTAGAAGAGCCGTCTCTATCTAATCACCCTGCAGTTCCTTCGCTCTCTGTTCCTCTTCCCACTAATGTCGGTCTTCATGTCACGTCCACCCGGGACAAGCGCCGCTCAATTAATCCCGGATTGGTTATCAAGCCACCCGGAGAGCCTTGTACCGCTTCATCCTC